TCATAAAAAAATTTTCAAACCTGACTGTGAATAATGTCTATCAACAGGACAGTGATAAGGCATTATAACTTTATTGAGCTGTACTTATTAAAATAATATAAATGAAGGCAGGTATGGGGTGTACTTAAGTAGTTGGGACTGAGGCTGGAGGATCACTTGTGTCTGCAAGTTCAAGATCAGTGTAAGCAGCATAGATCCCATCTCAAAAGCAGCAACAAAAATTATATGTGAAGTTCTTGACAGGTCATAAAGACCTAACTGGCAGTACTTGTGGGGTTTTTTTCCAAATGTAGTTTCAAAATTGAAAAGCAAACTGTACAAAACAAATATGGACAACAGATTTCTGGCTTTAGCTAACTCTATGACTATATTTTATTGGGAAAAATGTTTTATATTAAAATTTTAGTTTGTCCTTGATCGCTTATTTTGCCATATTTTTAGCAGTATTCAATTTTTATGTATTAGCACTTCAAAGTGCTTTACAATGATACAATTTTTATATACTGTTGCTGTCAACAATAGTAGAAAGTTTTCTCTAAAAGCCCATTGAGGCTTTAAAGCTTTACCAGGATATATGCAAAGGCTCTGAAAAGTATTGTTCATGCCAGCAAACTAGCTTATTGACAAGCAAATAATCCAGTTTATCATCTGAAGCAAAATGAGTAGCTTGAGTTTACCAGTAAATTAGCTTGAATTACATCAATATTGCTTCTGTCTGTCCAAATGCACTAACACATTTCTGAAATTTGATTTTAGGTTTTAAATATTGGTTATTTAGCATCAAAATTTACTGAATGGCTAATCTGTGCATAGATAAATTCTGAACTTAAAAATAATAATAAGAAACACAAGGAGTTGCTCCTGCCATCTAGATACTTATACTTAGTTAAGGGAACAGACCATGCAACAAGTTCTACAATGTATGCAGTGTAAACTCATTGGACTTCATTGCTTTATATGTCCCTCCCCCATGATATAACCACTGTTTTCACTGTATTTGATGTTGGTATAATTTGTGGAAGGGAAGGGAACAAACAAATCGTTTAACTAGGGATACAGGTGGACCCATTTACAATGAGATGTACAAGTCGTTATGTAGAAAAATGAACTTTACAACTTTGGTGGGGGATGGGTGAAGGGGTGGGATATGGGAAGGGATAGGAAGGGGAAACAAGGAGGAGGCAACAATGCTTGATAGGAAATGTATTCATTATCTTGCCCATGTAATTGCAACTCCTCTGTACGGTATTTTCATAATAAAAATTTGTTAAAATCATTGGAAACACAGATAATTTAACTCTTAATTTGATACCTGTGGAATATGTTTTTGAAAAAAATCTATAGTCAGGTAAAATTTTATTTGGTTTTAATGAATAATGAGGCATTTCGTATTGGATAAAGTGGAAGGATAGTCCAAGTGAAAGTCATAGCTCATACAGAGGAAGAAAGGATTAAAAATTTATAGCTGTTTTCCCAGTCTTACATTTCTATAGCAGAGTTCAGAGGATGGAAATATGGGTAATAGAAGGATCCGCTGAGACATAAATATGGCTTTTGGAAAACTGAAATAATATTTCCCAAATCACAATATTCTTGTAATTTTTAAATAACATACTATATTAGTCTGTTTTCCATTGCTACAACAAAATCTCAGAGGCTGGACACTTAGAAATAAAAGAGGCTTAGTTATTTTTTATTCTGGCGATTCAAGAGCATGGCATCCGATTCTGCTTGGCTCTGCTGAGGGAATTGAAATAGTGGAGCACATGTGAAAGTACTAATATAGTAACAATATAGTAAGAACAGAAGCAGAGAGAAAGGTGGATCTTGGTCTTTTTTCTTTTTTTATATTAATAAAAATTTTTAATTGTGAAAATACCTTACAGAGGGTTTACAATTACATGGGCAAGGTAATGAGTACATTTATTATCAAGTATTGTAGCCTCCTCCTTTGTTTCCCCTTCCCATCTCCACCCGCCCCCCAAAGTTGTAAAGTTCATTTTTCAACATAATGACTTGGACATCTCATTGTTGCAATGGGTCCACCTGCATCCCTATTTAAACGATTTGTTTTTTCCCTTCCCTTCCCCCAGTTAAACCAACATCAAATACAGTGAAAACAAGGGTTACACCATGGGGGAGGAACATACAAAGCAACAAAAAATCATCTTAGAAATATGTTAGAAACAATAGCAAGCAAGAAAAACCATTTGAGTCCTTATCTTGGGGTTCATTTCGCCTAACATCAACTTATCTGACCATTTCTGCTTGTCTCATATACTAGTTATTGCAAATAAGGGAAACCATGGGACCTATGTTGCTTTGGGCCTGGCTTACTTCACTTAATATAATTTTTTCCAATCTTTCCATTTCCTAACAAATGGGGCAATGTCATTCTTTCTGATGGAGGCATAGATGTGTGTGTATGTATAGATAGATAGATAGATAGATAGATAGATAGATAGATAGATAGATAGATAGATAGATAGATAGATAGATAGACCACATTTTCTTGATCCATTCATCTACTGAGGAGAATCTGGGTTGGTTCCATCTCTTAGCTATGGTAAAATGCTACAATAAACATAGTTGTGCTGGTAGCTTTAGTATGGTCTTGTTTGTGATCATTTGGGTAAATGCCCAAAAGTGGAATTGCTGGGTCATAGGGCAGCTCTATGTGGTTTTTTTCTTTTTTTTTTTTCTTTTGTAAGTCATGGGGCTTGAACTCTGGGCTTGGGTGCTGTCCCTGAGCTCTTCAACTCAAGGCTAGCACTCTACCACTTGAGCCACAGCACCACTTCCGGTTTTCTGAGTGAAGGGAAAATACACATTGTTTAAATAAGGATACAGGTGGACCCATTGCAACAATGAGATGTACAAGACCTATGTCGAAAAACGAACTTTACAACTTTGGCGCCGGGGTGGGGAGGTGGGCGTGACGGGGTGAGGGGGAGATGGGAAAGGATAGGAAGGGGAAACAAAGGAGGAGGCAACAACGCTTGATAAGAAATGTACTCATTATCTTGCTCATGTAATTGTAACCCCCTATGTACAGTATTTTCACAAAAAAAAAAAAAGTCTCACGGACTTTTTCTGCCCGGGCTGGCTTTGAACTGCGGTCTTGAGATCTCAGCCTCCTAAGTATCTAGGATTACAGGCGTGAGCCACCGGCACCCAGCTTTGAATCTTCTTCTTTTATAATAACTCCATCTCACTAACTAGGGTCTTCCAAGAACTACATTAATCCTTTCAAGTCAGTCTCTTCAAGTCTTAATTATCTCCTACTGGGATTCACTTGTTAAGGTTTCCATCAGGGCTCAATACTGCCTCCTTGGCTGCCATACTTTAAACATATGAAACTTTGGGGACATATCCAAACATCAGTGCCTGCCATCAGAATATTCCTGATAAATGTTACTTGGCTTGTGCCCACTCACATACGTACATGCGTGTGTATGTGTGTATGTATGTATGTATGTATATATGTATGTATGTAAGAGAGAGGGAGAGAGAGTCAGACAGAGACAGACACAGAAAGAAATGCTTGAGCTTATTTGGCCTATTTTAGTAAAACAATATTATTCGTTTGCTTTTTCTGGGTTAAACAATCCTGATATACTACTCCACTTCAAATAAGGTAAAAGCAAGTTTTACAACATCTGACAGGCCATCTATGAAGAGGACCATGTATGTTGTACAAAAATACTAAGAGATCTGAAAAGTATCTCTGGGCTTTGTTTCATGGAGAACCATGTATAACAAACCTGTAAAAGATAACACATCTGAGGGTTGTAATTAATAATGTAAGATGGTGCATTTAAAAAGTCTTGCCTGTGCTAGACTCATACCAAGAGTTATCTGGGAAAACTTTACTGCTCTTATTCACATGATGAAGCACTGAACCATCAAGTCAATGAATGAATGAAGCCAGTCACCTTTAATATTGTGGGTGTGGACACATTCTTCAGCCTTTCTGGGAGTACCATGACATTTCCTTTGAGAATAAAAAGAAACTAAAAAAAGTCTCCCTATCTTTCCCCAGCACTATGTGGGTACGCTCAATAATTCAAGTATGTTAATGGTTTTTACTGGACTTGTACTAGAATGCATTATCTGTGCCCTCAATAATATTGCTGTAACAGGAATTACTCAATTTCTTGAAGACAGTATGCTGAACTGTCTGTATCCCTTTTGAGACTATTGTGTCTTTAAAAAGTAAAGCGACTAGATCAGGTAAATTGGGTCAAACATGGGCTATAGATTTTCATCTGGTAAAGCTTGCAGGAACAAGGAGATGGAAAGAAAAATCTTGATCCTGTCTGCTTTGGATATCATATACAGAGACATTTGTCCGAGGGAGTATGTATGTGTGTTTACTTCATTCTAAAAAAAAGAATAGGAAGAATGGACAAATACAGTCATAATATCCAAATACATATGTGAAAAAGGAACTGTGTCGCTTGAGCATAGATGGGGTGGGGTGAGGGAAGGGGTGACATTGTTCAAGATGCATTGCACTCCTAAATTGACCTGTTGAATGGAAACTACCTTTGTCCAACTACTTAAATAAGATTAAAATATGTCATAAAAACAAATGAAGGAAAATGATCGAAGATTGTGATAGTTATGTGCACAACGTGAAAAAAAAAACAAACCTAAGGCAGCTGTCGGTGACTCACGCCTGTAATCCTCCCTATTCTGGAGGCTGAGATCTGAAGATCGTGGTTCAAAGCCAGCCCTGGCAAAGAAAGTCCGTGAGACTCTTATGTCCAATTAACCACCAAAAAACCAGAAGTGGCATTGTGGCTCAAGTGGTAGAGCACTCACCTGGAGCTGAAGAGCTCAGAGACAGGGTGCAGGCCCAGAGTTCAGACCCCATGACTGAAAAAAACAAAACAAAAATAACACAAACAAACCAAAAACCCCTATGTATAGCATTCTTATAATGTGAAGGTTTCTGATACACTTAGACATGAAGACTATTTTGTTTCCTCTTTTAGCTGTGAAGAAGAAAGCTGGCCTCATCACTCCTGTCCCAGGAGGCGTGGGACCCATGACAGTGGCCATGCTTTTGAAGAACACCCTTCTCGCGGCGAAAAACAGCTCTTATCAAATCCCAGGAAAGAGCCAAATGAACTGAAGTCAAACTGTGTATTTATTTCACAAAGGGCAAAAAACCTTTATATTTTACTACAAAGCTATTTATTTCTACATTGTATTTATTTTTTCATGGATGAAATCCTTGTGGATCAGATGATTCTGATCTTTATGCATTTCCTGCTAATGAATTTTGAGTTTTAGGAAAGACTGAAACAATTCCCACTAAAAAATTGGTAATAATTGCTTGTTTTATGGGTATGTCTTCATAATGGTAAGAAAGGATTTATAATAAAGAAATCTATTTTTGACAATTATGTACCAACATAGTATGTTTCAACAAATGTTTTGTCACTCAAATAGGTACCAATGTCAAATTCAATTCTGGTTTTCCTATAAACATGCTGAATTTTTAATCTACTTCATGTCTTAGGTCATTTGCTGAAAAAGATCTTAAGAATTAAAAGAAAGATAAAATGTTGAAAATAAATTCAGACTATAAGATATCTCTCAAATGCAGCCTACAAGGCCATCCTAATGAGAAACGATATTCTATTAATGGGGAAAAATCATGAAAGACAAGAAATACATTCCATGACTTGAAAAAGTAGTGATTATATCAAATAATGATTGACTGTCATGGTAAAAAATATTTGAAGAACATGTTAGCTTTGCATATCATTTTTTTTCCTTTCGAAAAACTATTAGGCAGTATTTTCAGTGAATAATACTACAAACATCCAGAAAAAAATACACACACACACATATGTAAAACAAAACTCACATTATGGTTTTCTACAAGTGTCAAATGTGATAGAATATAACTGAGGCTATCAGTAAAGGACAGTAGCTGATAGGTCTGTTCACAAGTTCAGCTATCTGACAATGCTTTTAGTTTATGGAAACTAAATTTAGGATGCAACTAAGTACCAAATTCTTTATGCCAACCATTCTTCCCTCTTCCATTATGATATTTGGTTCTTGGAATAGATACCACCATTCTAATGTGATTTTTTTTGTCAGTCATGGGGCCTTAACTCTGGGATTAGGCACTGTCTCTCAGCTCTTTAGCTCAAGGCAAGTGCTCTACCACTTGAGCCACAGTATCACTTCTGGGTTTTTCTGCTTATGTGGTGCTGAGGAACTGTATCTCTGTTACTTGTCTCATGCACTTATGCCCAAACCACATCAGTTACTTGTATATCAATAGTGACTCTTAAATAGTACATGTCTTTATCAGTGCATACTCTTGATTGTGTGAACATGGACTAGATGTTTGTAATTAATAACATCCTACTAATTAATAAACATAATTTGATGAAAAAGAATAGCTGTATTTTTTCTTTTTTTAAATAAGTTTTTTGTTGTGAAAATACTGTACAGAGGGGTTACAATCACATGAGCAAGGTAATGAGTACATTTCTTTTTTGGGGGGGGGATCCGGTCATGGGGCCTGAACTCTGGGCCTGGGCGCTGTCCCTCAGCTCTTCAGCTCAAGGCTAGCACTCTACCACTTGAGCTACAGCGCCACTTCCGGCTTTTTTCTTTTTGCTTATGTGGTGCTGAGGAATCGAACCCAGGGCCTCTGGCATGCAAGACATGCGCTCTACCACTGAGCCACCTTCCCAGCCCATAATGAGTACATTTCTTATCAAGGATTGTTGCCTCCTCCTTTGTATTTTTTAAGATAGCTATATGTTTTCCCCATATGATTACTACTGGTTTCCTTACCTCACTCATGATAGGAAAATGTAGTAAGTTTCATGAAGAGGAAAAGAAAGACATTAGAATGTGTTCTCAAATTGGTCCAGACCACTTTTGTTCAGTAGTCTTGATAGACATGTAAATCCAAAGCTTGCAAGCAAAATTTTAAAAGGGCCTCTTTGTAAAGGTTCCTGACTTCTCAAACAACTAAGGTAATGAGAATACATAGATGTGAAAAAATGGAATGACTGTAATTTGAGCACCCTACCTCCATAGTGCAAGAAACATTATTTTGGAATAATATATTGGAGTCTGCCTTCCAAAACACTAATTGAAATACAAAGAAATGTCTGACACTTACTTAAAGTAGTAAGGGAGACTTTATTCAAGACTATTGCAATGGAATCATGCAGCGATGAGAGACAGAACTCTATAGCAAATACATCTGGCAACGTAAGAGTAGATGAGCAGAGATGGGGGACAAGGGGGGAAAATGACTAAGAAGATTTGATTACTTACCGAGGACAGAGAAATTCTTCCTAAACTAGTTTATCAGTGTTCTTGATAAAAGCATTCCACAGACTTAGATATTAAGGGTAAGAGATGGAAAACTAGATAAGATAGTTACAGAAGGGTGAGTTGTTTTTTTAATGATTTAGTGGGCTTCTTTATTAAAATTAAGCTTTGTCAAGAAGATGCCTCAAAGGAGACTGGGTAGAGTCTGGTGAAGGAAGGAGTCTGTCAGTACATAAAAGAGATAAAGTCAATTCATTGGTATCATGACTTTATTCGTAGGTATTTTGAAACATTGAAGTACAGGCATGCAATTTCCTTCTGGAGGAGAGACATATATTTTCTTTTCCTATATTATTTGTGTCTATAAAGAGACTCCTAAACAATTAATGGGAAGGAGTATAGGGGTGGCAGATGAATGGAAGGAGGGAGGGTAGGTACAGTCATTATATTCAATGCACAAAAAAGAATTAATGGCTGTTGAACAGTACAGACCCAAGAATTATATATATACATATTTCTTGCCTTTCTACATATGTAACATTTTTATCTACATCGATTATATTTTTGAAAGAGTGTAGTTAGACGAAGATGACAAATGTAGGTTGCAGAGTGTTAGAAATGGCAGTGGGCTTAATATGGAAAACACATAAAATATGTAAAAGCATGCTAAATCAATATGTCTACCACATTTAGGGAGCAGTGATTCTTGCAGTTCGAGGTTATAAGATATTACTGATTAGCATAAGAGGGGCTGATTTTGGAGGACAGCTAGTATGTTTTTCATTTAAGTCCTGTTGAATTTGAGGGGACACACTACATAAGTACTGCAGATTTGGGAAGAAGGTTAGTCATAGCTAGCAGAGACCACTACGCCTCCCGTGTCTTTCTACACATACTCATTAGGAACCCCCGTCCTTCACTCAGCATCTGTCATGTGCTATGTGCTTTCTTTTTATTTTTGTAGTTTTGGTCTTGACTCCTTATTAAAAAAATTTCTACTTCCGTTTAACTAGGGATACAGGTGGACCCATTGCAACAATCAGATGTACAAGTCGTTATGTCGAAAAACGAACTTTACAACTTTGGTGGGGGGGGGGAGGATCGGGTGGGGGAAAGAGGGGGCAGTATGGGAAAGGATGAGAAGCGGAAACAAAGAGGAGGCAACAATGCTTGATAAGAAATGTAGTTGTTCTAAGGGTACCTTACCACTTGAGCCATACATTTACTTCTGGATAGTTACTTATTTAGTCCTTGATCCTCAGATCTCAGCCACTTCAGGTGCTAGACATTTATAGGCATGAGACACTAGCCCCTGGCTCTCAACTTCATTTCTTAAAATAACATCATGCTTTAAGGATGCTTCCCTTTTGCTCAATTTCAGAATTTAGAACTAAAAAACATCTGGTGTAAAAATGAAGTATATCTTAATAATTTCCAGAATTTTAAAATGTAAAAAATAAGTCTGTTAAATAAACAAACATGTATGCTGAAAAAAAAGAAATGTACTTGTTTTCTTGCTCATGTAATTGTAACTCCTCTGTACGGTATTCTCACAATAAAAAAAAAATTAAAAAAACTTCTACTTGATGGATGAAGAAATTGATCCTTCCTGACCTTAAAATCTAGCCATGACCCAATGGATAGAGCTAGAGTTTGATGTATACAAGATCTGTTGAAAGTCTGCAGGTCAGAATCTACTCTATAACACCTTCTTAGTGTCCCTAATACCTACCATCACATACCCCAGTCCCATTTGTTAAGACTCACTGCAAGTGAAACTTTGCCAGGAAAAATGTCATGCAAGTGTGATGGAGCAACCTCTCTCAACTGTCCTAGCCCATATTGGTAACCTAAGCCCATGCTGTCCTGTACATATTGATAATAGCTCTCGCTCCTTGCACACTACAGTAGTTGGGTACATACTTTGCCCAGCTCCTTTTTGGAGGCAATAATACACACCGTCTGTTTATTTTATAAACATCACTATGTTCAGCCTAGTGCCAAAGATGTAGAAGGCATTTAATACTTTATGCATGGTATAAATAGCAACTGGATTCATGAGAATTATAAACTTAGGGGAAGAAGCAATAGATCAATGAGCATTTCCTAGTGATAACTAGCTACAAATTCTGGTTGAATTTGTGAAAGAGTAAGAAAAGAAAAAAAAAGACTAAAAGAAAGGAAAGGGTCTCTTCCAGAGATGCTTATGACTAGAGGAGAGAGTGAATACAGTAACGGATGTATAGCTACATGTACAAGGGAAAATTGTTAGGTAAGCTCTTGGCTTCTTGCCTCTTTTTCTTTCCCAAACTTGCCTTAGGTGTTAGGAATGAATAAAGTTATCAGTGAAGTTAGTTTAAAATACCTATCTCCCTCCTTTAGGACGGGCCAGAGAGTATGAGCAGGCTGTCAACTTTAGAAAGTGGGAGTGGAAATCATTAATACAGACCCTGGAGGAAAAGCACTCAGAATGACTCAGAGCTATTTTCTGATTTCAAAATGATAGGTAAGTCCCTAAACAACGTGACCTAATTTTCTAGAGTTGGAAGCATCCACACAGGCAACCATCCATCCTTTTCAGTCTAAACATGTGCAAAAATAAACCCACAGATGATTTAACATTTAGTTTCCTATGATAATGGAAACCTTGATTTTTTTAGATAATTTTAGGACTTACTTCCTCTAAGATCAGTATGCCAATTCCTACTAGGCAAGATAGCTGGGGAAGTGCGAAGTTATCTGATTGGACAGCTGAAAATATGATTGAATCCTGACTCTGGAGCATGTCATTTGGCAAATCACGTTTTTCCCCTCTGTAGGGCTGGGGCTTAAACCTCAATCTCTCTTGTGCCAAGTTTATTCTTAACCACTGAGCTGCAACCCCCTGCATCCTTACTCAAATCTTTTGAGCCTTCATGTCTCATGTATTATCTGAGAATAAAAATAAAGTCAGCCATTTAGTTCTTTATCAACTCCAGACAGATGTGTTGAGTATTTATTTGCCTACTACTAGATTTATTGGGCTAGGATTAGTGAAGAAAGAATTGAGATGTATATGAAAACCTTACAAAATACGATGGATTATATTATCCATAGTTCGAGATTTTTACAGGATGGTCACCCAAATTTCACATCTTAGTGTTTCAAAGATATTTGGAGTAGGGTTGTGGTTCAGTTGTAGATCAGTTGCCAAGCATAGGTGAGGTCTTGGGTGGATAAATAGATGATTGATAGATAATAGATAGATAGATAGATGGACAGATATTTAATGTAAGTCATTTCCTTCCAGAAGTGCAAATGGAGTTATGACAATTATTTATTCTTTTATAAATGATTTCTTATCAAAGTTTCACCAGGGGTTATAAAAGAATATTTATAATTTATTTGTAATCCAACTATTATTTATAACTTAAATATTGAAAAGATAGTATCCATAAGCTGACTTAATAAAGTTTTAAACATAAATCCATAAAAGTAGAAATACAAAACAGCAGGCACATTTGAAAGTAGGGGTATAGCTCAAATGGTAGAATACCAGACTTGAATGAAAAAGCTAAGTCAGTGTTCAAAGCCCTGAGTTCAAGCTCCAGTACTGGTAACAAAAAAGAGAATGTAGGCTCGTTTAAAATGACCTAAGTATTTTAACATTAAAAGGATGACTCTGTGGTGGGTGATTGCCCAAGATATAATGAGTACAACAAGCTCACTCTTGTGCAATTTCTAAAGCAAAATCTATATCTGAATATTGAAAGGAATAATTTCTGATAAATCTAATTTGCTGTATAGACATGATGCATAACCTATCTTGACTTCAACAACTTTTCAAAGTTTAGAAAATGTGAGCAGTCATATTCCAATTAAAAGGACATGGCACTTCCACAAAATATGTTTACAAATAAATATCCGTATTAATTTAGAGCAAGTGAAAGTTGGTGGGAAGCCCCTTGAGTCAGAAAATGGAATAGCAATAATTACATGTTTTTAGTCTTTATAAAAACCACAATAGATTAAAATTGAGAAAGTGTTAAATGTTGTATTAAATCTAGCAATTTTAATCATTTTATTCATTCATTCAAACTAAATGTCAGCTTGATTTTGTCTCACAGGAGAATATTAAAACTATGACTACTATTACTATGGTTATTTTGGTGCTTTATTGGCTCTTTGAAGCATAAATGTAAGCATTGTTGTTCCTGGAACTTGGTAGCCCATTCCATTTTCTCAGAAAAATACGAAATGGTAAAAACGACACAAAGATATATAGTACTTATATAACTTATTATAGGTAAAGTAACAAGAACTGAATTTGAATATTAAATCTGCTTTTACACAAATTTAATGATTCTCCCTGTAGATGTTCAGAAAAAAAATATTTTGATTTGCATTGGAACTCTGAATCTATGATAAAGGACTTAAAACTGAATTACTTGTTCAATTATCAGGGAGTGTGTGTGTGTGTGTGTGTGTGTGTGTGTGTGTGTATGCGGGTTCTGGGCCTGGGCACTGTTCCTGAGCTTTTCTGCTCAAGGTTAGAGCTCTGCTACCTGAGCTACAACTCCACGTCCAGCTTTTTGGTGGTTTATTGGAGGTAAGAGTGTTCATGGACTTTCCTGCCCAGGCTGCCTTCTAACTGTGATCCTCAGATCTCAGCCTCCTGAGCAGCTAGGATTACAGGCGTGAGCTACCCAGCACCCAGTCCTGGGATTTATTTTATTTCATTTTATTTAACAGGTTATGATGTTTCCTAACTTGCAAATGCCTTTGTTGAAATCCTATAGAGTCTTCCTGAAGAGCAAGAATAGTTCTGTTGACCATCGGTGGGGGTCGATTTAGAATTCCCACTCTTTTTTGTTGTTTTAAGTACTTTTACACATATGAGTATGCCTACAGGTCACAGGAAACCAGTGTTTCCAAAGGAAACCTGATCACATCGGTAGATAACACAGGTATCCTAAACAAGTGCCTGTGTGCCCTGAGGCTTCAGGCTGTTGCCAAAAGTACATATTTTTTTGATTGGTAAGAACTGAGAGATGACGCTTGGTGAAACATAAATGGCAGAAAGACTCAGAGACAGCACAATAAAAACCTGTCAGTCTCGGAGAACAAGAGAGCAAGTTGACCAAGGGCAGGAGATGGCTTTGCCAGTTCCAGTATTAATCTGTCTTTTATTTAAAGGTAGGTAAATTCTCTTTTGTTTTGTTAAAGCTGTATCGCTCTAAATTGCAGGGATTTATTTCTTTGAACCAGACATTCACTTCTAATATTTGCTTCTGACAAAGATCAGAGCAAGGAACCTGGATTAATTTAGGGTTTTGTGTATGTGTGTGTGTATGTGTGTTTGTGTGTTTTTTGTTTTTTGTTTATTTCTTTTACAGATTGTATGTTCCCTTCTTCCTATGTTTGGATTATCTTCCTCTCTCTTTCTCTCTTTTTTTCTCTCTCTTTCTCTTTCTTTCTTCCTTCCTTCCTTCCTCCCTCCCTCCCTCTCTCCCTCTTTCTCTCTTTCTCTCTCTCTCTTTCTCTCTTTCTTTCTTCTTTCTCCTGGAGAGCTCTAAAAGACTTGCAATTGGATTGTAGCAGATGAACATTTAGCTATTATACTTCAGTACAATGTCCTAGTGATTGACTTAATATATAAATGCACACGTGTTTGTGATCAAGATGCATTGTATTCATAAATTGCTTTGCTAAATGACAACTTCTTTGTACAGCTACTTAAAGATAATAAAAAACAAAAATATGACTATTTAAATGTTTCTTATTTTATCAATGAATTAAAACTTAAAATACTTTATACATTTCATTACCAACTTGAAACTTTCTATTTAGAATTAATGTGTTTGTATTTCCTATGAAATGTAGTCATGGAATAGTTGAGAAACAGTTTGTAAATGGTCTCTGATCAGGTTCTGGATTTCCAAATGTAATCAATGAAAAACAGAATAGAAAATACGAATAAGAGAATAAGAATAATGTTGGATTTGTGGTTTACACGTGGAAGGAGATTCACCTCTGAAAAGATGCTTTTCCCCTGCCACAGCAATGACAGCACTGACAGAAGATGCAAGAGTGGTCGTGACACCTGACAGTATAGTCCAGCAGAGTAACTGGACAGCTAACCAAACTGAAGGTATTTTGCTTCCATCCTTCTTTTCCAAGTAACTTCTTTAAAGCCTTTGAGAGGAATTTGCATTGCAAATTTGGAAAGCAGCACTGGAAAATTTTTCATTTTATGTTTTATTGGATAATCAACTCATTTAACAAGATGCTGTTAGGTTGAAGTGACAGATAAATGTGTCAGCCAAGAACTGCCTTCTTCAAAAGAAGGAAATGAAAAAAAGGAAAGTTAAAAAAAATCTGTCTTCACCTCCTGTTTTGTATGTAAAATATTCCACACTTTCTTCCTTACTTCCAATAATAACTCATGCATGTCCTGTGTGGCTACGAGCAATTTTGACATTCTTTTTGTTTTGTTGTATTTTGTTTTGTGCCAGTCCTGAGGCGTGAACTTGACCCTGAATGCTGAATGCTGTCCCTGAGCTTCTCTATTCTTTTTTTTTTCTTAAGTATATCACTTGAGCCATAGCTTCATTTCCAGCTGTCTGGTAGTTTATTGAGGACAAGAGTCTCACAGACTCTCTTGCTCTGGCTGGCTTCATATTGTGCTCTTCAGATCTCAGCCTGCCATGGGTACATGACTGTTTTGGCATTCTTAATGAAGACATTTCATTTTAGCCTGTGATTGGTAGCTATGGCTCTAAGCTGAAGCACTTTCCCTTGTCTGTCTTTGGAAGTAAGTATCCTTTTCTCCTTGCTTGGTCCTCAGGGGCTTTTGTTGCTGTTTTAACTTGCACTGAGTTTCCTAACCACTTAAAGCCAATTTTTGTTGTTGATGATGATGAGATGTTTTCTTTTTGATCTCATTACTCTTATTACAGTGGCTTCTGGCTGCTGTGGCACATCAGCAGTATGTTTGAACTAGAAGTGACCTTGAGAAGTCTCATAGCCCTGGAGATCTGTAACCAAATGGTTTTAGATCTCATGCAAATCACAGAATGGCCCCTGATAGGATCCTGGAGAAATCTGCTCTCTCAGAACACAGCAAATAAAAGATGATCAGTCAAACATTTCATTTAAAAACATGCAACATCTTCATGTCATTGATAATTTTAAACAATCATTCGAAAATATTTTACTCACTTGACTTTTCAGATACTATTTTGTAAAATGAAAGTAGTGTGAGTTTCAGAATAACTTTTAGTCAACTTAATGCCATCTGGGCCTTTGAGCTGTTTTATTAAAATAAGATCAATAATATCCTAGGAAAAGTAAAGTAATGTGACTTCTTTCTGGTGAGTGATGTCATTACTACATTTTTTTCTAGTCTCATTTTTTAAAATTCCTGAATGGTGAGCTACTAGCAAAAAAATTATAGGAATGAGTAAAAGGATTGATTATCTCATCTCTATATTTTCCCTTTGCTTTTTTTGATAAAGAACTTTAGTTTCTCCTTTTGCTTTTTTATTTCAGTTAAAATATGAATGTAATATCTTAGAACATTTCTTATCAAGTGTAACGAATATTCTTAGGAGAACAAATCTGTTTATATTCTTTCTTTGAAAATGCTTCTTTCAATTTTCATATTTTCTATCAACTCCTGTTTTAAGCTTGGTAAAATAAACCTGCTTTGTTTGTCTTGAACTTAAAAGAAACTGGCAGCTGAGAATATAGCTCAGTGAGGAATTACAAGGCTCAAGGCCCTGGGTTTAATCCCCAGAATCTCAAAAGAAGAATTTATGGTGAGAATTTCTACATACCTCAGCACCAATTGCAAAATAATAAATTATGTTCATGATACTGCATTCAATAAAGTGATTGTGAATTTTTAGATAATATTAGGTGTTTTCAAAGTGAAGTGACACAAAAGAGCATCTTATTGCTACCAAAAATACCAAAAGATTTAGTATTTTTCATACAAGAAGAAGTTTATTTTGTTTGCTTTTCTAAAAACCAACAAGCAGGAGAGTCTCTTAATCTCACGGAGGCAAATATACAAGAGTATATCATCATAACCTGATAACTTGTAATGAGGAGATAGATTCATGGCACTGACAAAAGAAAAGTCTACTAAGTCTGCTTGAAAAAATATTAAAATTGCTGGAGTATGTGAAAAGGAATCAGTTCTGTATTTGGGGGATGATCTGAGTCGTTCCCAGTCCAAATATGTGGCTAGCCTATCAGATTTAGGGAAGGCATCCTGAGACATGACTGTTTTGCCTAAATATACTTTCTTGAAAAGAATCTGTCATCGGGGGGTTTCTGGACACCTGACTATAAAATTGTGTTCAGTTGTGATCACATTGCTTGGTGTTAGAGCTAGAAATAAAAACTTGGATTTCCTCAATTCCAAATCCCTTGCCTTTGACAATATTTAATGACATAAAACAGGTACTATTCGAAGTTATCATCACTAACTATATTCTCTTGAGCCATAACTTACTTGGGGTTTCCAGTACAGGTCATCATAGTAACTCTTCTGAAGTCAGTTTGGGATGAGGTCCCCTTTTCAGTTAGCACCCTTTACATAAAGAGAAATTCTTGTCATCTTTCCCTCTGTGTAGATCAAATGTTCTGTGTTCTACTTTCTCAATGTACAGGTGGAAAATGTGAAGATTGTATGAAATCTTCCATGTTTTTGAACATTCAGGTATACCACAGGAAAGCATTGTTCAAAATAACCTTTGAAGACTCAAACCAGTGCTGCCACCTTTTGGCAAGCGTGTTGTCTCTATACTTTTGTCTTTCTTTCTTTTTTTATTGTAACATAAATTTTATTATTTTTTATTTTACTTTTATTGTCAAGGTGATATACAGAGGAGTTACAGTTACATAAGGTAGTGAGGACATTTCTTGTCAAACTTGTTACCCCTCTTCTTCATTTTTCTCCCTCTCTCCCTCACCCCTATATCTCTATACTTCTAAAGAATGGAACAATTCTCAATCCACCTTAACAATATATCTAGGCAATATTCATGCAACCCTGTGAGTAGAATCAACACACCAAAGAAACCAAAAGTTAAAAGGATGAATGCATAACAGGTATATATGTATGTGTTGAAAATTTATCATCTGTTAATACTGAATCTTCTTTTCCTAGCTGACTATGTAGAAGGGCTTATAGCCTTGAAGTTTTCACACCCCTGTCTGGAAGACCACAATAGTTACTGCATCAATGGAGTGTGCGCTTTCCACCATGAGCTAGAGAAAGCCATCTGCAGGTAATAGCAAAGAACTTTCCAAGACTTCAAGACAGGAATGAGGAGGTGATGTGCACTCAGTACATTCGTATACTCTTCATTCTTACCCAGTAAACATGGTGCTTGACCTGAACATGAATTGCCAAATTTCTTTGTACTTCAGTTTCTAAGGAGTGATTTCTAAACTACTGAAGCCACATTGCTGAAAAATATGGCTTCAAGATTTGCAGCAAGTGTGAGACCTAACACTTGTTGGAAATGAAGAATTTATGCTCTATCCCAGAACTGCTGAATCAGCATCTATACATTTTTTAAAAATTAAATTACCTTTAAGTAGTTATACAAAGTGTTTTAAATTCAAATGTCAGCTTATGAGTACACTGCATCTTGGTCAGCGTCACCCCATTTTCCCAGTTCTCTTCCATCTCTCCCAACCCCACCCATCCCCTCAATTTTCCTAGTTCCATTTTCACATAGGTGCCTTGTATATTATGGCTGCCTTACACCCAGGAATCTACACTTGTAACTTGCAAAGGGGATTCTGAATTTTCTCAGGATTGTTTGTCAGATGAAAGGAAACAGTCCAAACAAAACAAAATCTTTAGGAATATAAACGTCTAGAGCAACTAAGATATTATTCTTATAGCCATTGATTTGTTTAGCATACCACCTTCCCTGTCTACCAATGAGGGACAAATGTGAGGTCTTAAGTAAATGACTGATGTAAAGTTCATGCCTTCATATCTACTTCTTATCTTTAGCTGCTTGGTTTTGATTTGGTATTTATTTCTTTAATTAAAAATGCTTCCTTTTATTCTTTGAAATATGTCATGTCTTTGTATTTTTGTCACCACAAACTGTAAAATTATATATTATTTTCTCTTTTTCAAGATGTTTTACTGGTTATACTGGAGAAAGGTGTGAGCATTTGACCTTAACTTCATATGCTGTGGATTCTTATGAAAAATACATTCCAATTGGGATTGGCGTTGGATTAATATTAAGTAGTTTTCTCGCTATGTTTTACTGCTACATAAGAAAGAGGTATGGAAAAGACAAAACATGAAGTCACTTCATTTGACAGATATTTATTGAGCCCTAATCATGTGCCAGGCCATATGCATTGACATGCATAAATTTTTAATGTAAAAAAGTATGTAAATCTGGGAAGTTTCTTCATAACATTTGGTGCTTTTAGTCATAAACTCAAACAAGAGGTAAAATTTTACCTTCAGTTAGAATATGATAGGATATATTTATGATTTCCCTTCTGTCCATTTGTATCTGCCTAAACAAAAATTATAAATGAGCTGGATTTATGCCTGTAATCCTACCTACTCAAGACGCTGAGATCTGGTGAATCATAGTTCAAATCCAGCTCATGGAGAAAAATCTGAGAGATTCCATCTCCAAAATAACCAGAAAAAAGTGTCAGACTGAAGGCAGAGTGCCAGCCATGAGCTATCAAGCTGCGAGCTGAGCAAGAATGAAGCCCAGAGTTCAAGCTCAAATACAGGCAGATAAATATATATATTTATATATATATACACACACACACATATATATACATATACATGCATTATATACACACAGTCACATGCACACACATATTTATATCTATCTGTATCATGATATATGTACATATATACATATACAGTCACGTGTACATACACATATATCTACACACACACACACATGGGAAGGACAGAAGATCCCAAGGGTGTAGGGACTGAGCAGATCTTGTTCACTCTATGCATTAAGTGTCCAATTCTCTGCCTAGCATACAATAGAACTGACTAATATTTGCTGAATAAAAAAAGTTAACAAAGCTTGGTGCCGGTGGCTCACGCCTGAAATCCTAGCTACTCAGGAGGCTGATATCTGAGGATCACAGTTCAAAGCCAGCCCAGGCAGAAAAGTCCGTGAGACTCTTTATTTCCAATAAACTACCAGAAAACTGGAAGTGGCTTTGTGGCTCAATTGGTAGCACTCACCTTGAGCTGAAGAATTCAGGGACTGTCCCAAGGCCCAGAGTTCAAGCCCCATGATCAACAACAACAACAAAAAATTAACAAGTATTAAATTAGTGAATACATACAATAAAGATGGGACATTTTGTCCTCAGACTTCAAATTGAGGCTTAGAAGATAATTCTACCTTTTACAACATAAAATGATAAATGTGATTTACAATTAAGTATTAATTACATCTGTAGATAGTCATACTTCTTGCTTTGCTTCACCTGTGATTTTTTTCTTCAATTTATATAAATAGAAGAAGGTAAGAATGTGAGATGTATTTATTTTATATATTTAGTTTACATTCCCCATGCTGCATTTTACTTAGTTGTATGTGTGTGTGTGTGTGTGTGTGTGTGTGTAATGCTGGGGCCTGAATTCAGGGCCTCGGCATTGTCCCTTAGTTTTATTGTTCGTGTTCTACTATTCAAACAATTGTTCTATTTCTGGCTATACGGTAGTTAATTGGAGATAAGAATCTCATAGACTTTCCTGCCTGGGCTGGCTTCAAACTATAGTCCTCAGATCTCAACCTACTGAGTCGCTAGGATTACTGTAATTCCAAAACTGAAACTATACGTCCCAAATAGAAAAGTTTATTTGCTTAATGAATATGTCTTAGGGCAAGTCCAATCTATATTCTCTTGGTTTCATGTTTGTCTAAGACATCAAGAATAATAGTGAGGAGGAGGAAGAGGAGGAGGAACCTGCTGATATTTAGGGTCCCTAAATATCCCTGCAGTAAAGGATAGCAGATAGAGCAACAGAAGCTGTTTAGTGAAAGTGTAGCTTCAGCCTTAGTCCACAGGATGATCTGGTGTGTGAATGGCATCGTAAACCTGTCCCAAGGAGGAATAAGATGCAGCTCTGGTATTCATATTATTGATTCCTGAGCCACAAGATGCTCCTGATAGGGTAGGAGGCAAAGACTTGCAATCTTTCAGGAATCTCCTGGCAAGCTGCTCTGAAACAGGATTCTGCTGTGCACCGGCTCAGGGCTCACAGCCACAGGGGATAGGTCCTCTTGTGGTGAAGGGGACTGCATAGGCACCAAAAGCAAATCCTTCAGCAGTAGCTTTATAAGTACTCCACAAGCGTCAGTACAAACAGCAATCATATGGAAACCAATACTCTCTTTTAGGTGCCTAAAACTGAAATCACCTTACAACATCTGTTCTGGAGGGAAACCACTGTGAGGCCTTGTAAGGTGTTTTCATCAAGTCATTTTTGCGTCATCTGTAAAAAGAAAGAAGAAAGGAAAAGGAAAAAAAGAAAGAAAGGAAAGGAAGGAAGGAAGGAAGAAAGAGAAAGAAAGGAAAAAGAAAAAGAAGAATCAGTGGGGTCCAAATTGAAATCTTCAAATGAAACAACATAAAGTGCCAAGCTGAGGAGACTTGAAAGTAATTGAAGCTGGGATTACATCAAAATGAGAAGATAAAATTCGACATTAATCTTTAGACTTTGCCATTTGTGGGCCATGAAGCCAAATGAACAAGCTAGAAGTCAAGTTCATGGGTTGTTGTGTGCTTGTTATCACTGCAGAAAGACTGTGTTTCATGTTTCTGACCATGTCCGATGAGGGTTTTTATTCAAACAATTTTTAGCTGATAATCTCCAAGTGATGTCTACTTGGGTTTTTCATGGCCCACTACCTGGAATTTTAAATTGCCTAAAAAGACCTCTGGCTCTTCACTTGATGGGCCTGATCCCAAGCATTCTCTTTTTCCATGGTTGTTAATAGAATCTAATGTCCACTTTTTAAGGTGAAATAAGTGTATAGCACTTGAAAAAAAAATGGAATGTCCAAAGCAAACACAAATTATACCCAGCTTCTGAGAGTACCGTGCAACCTTTCCACGTGACATCTGCAATGAGCTAAACTGTTTCTGAAGACTGAACACCATCTGGATCTCACATCCAGAGTAGGCAGAGGATTTCTGCTTCTGTGTGGATTATGAAACTGGGTTGGACTCACTTTTCCTCACTGTTTTTGTTTACCATGTCCTCTGTTTACCAATGGAATTTTCTGGTGACCATCCATTTGGATTGAAATCCTAGAATTCTCTCAGTGACTGAAAGTCTACAAATGGTCCCAAAACCCAACTTGAAAAACTCGCTATAGAAACATCATGTGCAAGCTCCACCATTTTTGAAAATTTGGTGATGCACAACAATGCAGCAAGGGTAGATATAACTCTTGAGGAATCCAGGTTCTTCCTTTTTTAATTCTGCTTCTGCCATGGAATCTGAATAGTGCATGCAGGTCCTTTAATTTCTCTAGGCCTTCGCTGCCCTTTCTCTATAAGGCTTTCATACCTCTGAATTTTAGCTGAGGGAAGAAACAACTCTTTCACATCTGCACTGCAGGTGAGATAATGCTTCAACCATTCCAATTGTGCCTCTCACCCTGAGACACACCACTGGATATTATCTTAGGTGTATATTTTAGTGCTCAGTTTGTAAGATAATAATTTATTTTTAAAGGAAATGCAAAATAAAATGAAAGAATAACAACAGCTATGGTTTTACTTTGTAGATTCAATCTACAATGATGGACTTTTTTTTTCTTGTGATGTAGATAAGCAAAACAATTTTGATGATGAGATTCATTAAGAGAGTGAGATTTGAATATTCTTTAGTAGCCATCTAGGAATAAGGTTTTGAGTTACACTAAGTTACAGCTGTCCACTCGCTCCAAAAACAAAAACCAAAACCAAAACACAAAATAAAACTTTACATTCAACTTTCCTTTGAGGAGAAGGTATTTCCCCGGCTTGGTTTGGTTTTGATTCAGGAGGAATGTGATGCAGCTGAGCTGCATGTCAGCACTTTCCGCGCCTGTCTTCACACATGATGCCATGGTTACATCATCCCCAAGGCTGGGGAGTGAAGGCTCCTCCCAATGACTCCAGCAACCGCACCTAGAAAGCTATGAGCTTCCTGAGCATTTCAAAAAGATATAAAAAATGCTGGGGAGAGTCCAGAAAGAAACAATAAAGACCTGTCTGGAATTACTTAAGAACTGCCTCCAGATAAAAAGGAAGGAGGAATCAGTCCTATAGTCTGAGGAGGTGTGATGTAAACAAAGAGAGACATTGCAGTCTGTAAAAGCTTGCTAGTTTCCAACACACAAGGAAGTAAAATTAGAACAGCAGAGAATTTGAATTCCAAAGCTGCTAAACCAAAATGTTAACCAAAACAAATACTAATACAGACTCATTTTGTAACCTGTAGAATAGTATTTCTTAACAATATAAAATCTACGCAGGGAGACAATGCAGAAACTTTAAGAGGATGGCATATGACTGACATCTGTATATGGTCTATCATATGAAGTGATCTATGATCATATACCTTTGGGGTTAATTTTGCAGGAAAGTATCTTTGGCCTTCTTAGAGAGCTAGAAGCACACCTACAGATATTTATATACATATCAAGACATTAAAGGAAGAAACGCACAAATATAAGATGATCTGAGAATTGTTTCATCTTCTATTTTTTTTTCTTGGATGTAATAAGATCTTGTAAAGAGCCTTCCAATGAAGCCCATTCCCCAAACTACACTTCCAGTTATCAATCATGGATCAGTAAGTTTGGTAGATCATTTAGGAAGGAAATAACAACTTGTGCTGGCATCTTTGACTTAAATTTATCTATTTCTTTCATTTCTGTGTGTGTGTGTGTGTGTGTGTGTGTGTGTGTGTGGTGTGTGTGTGTGTGTGTGTGTGTGTGTATGTGTGTGTACTGATCCTGGGGGCTTGAACTCAAAGCCTAGGCACTGTTCCTGAGCTTTTGTGCTCAAGGTTAGTGCTCTACCATTTGAGCCACAGCTCCACTTCTGACTTTTTGGTGGTTAATTGGAGATAAGAAGCTCCAGGACTTTACTGCCTGGACTAGCTTCAAAATGAGATTCTCAGATCTCAGCCTCCCAAGTAACTAGGATACAGGTATGAGCTGCCCAACTTCATTCCCTTATTATTTCTAACTTATGTCTGTCCTTCAGTTCTTTGAGAGTATATTATTAGGTCATCCATATCAATGAGGGCCTCATTATTTAGCATTTTGGAATATAAAGTGTGTGGTGGGGAGTGCAAACATTATTATCTCAACCATACCTATACCTGTACATTTACAAAAAAGGAATCACGATAGTTTGTCATTGTATCCTTTATCGCCCCAAACTAGTTTTGTTTGTAGCCATCTTTATATAAAGAGAATGAAATTATAATAGAGTTCATCTTTTTCCTGGCATAATGTAGATCTAATCCTTTCAATTTGACATATCCACTTTGGTGACGTCAATAAAATTTCCATTCATTATATTTAATTGAAAAAAATGTCTTAAGAAAATAACAAGACAAACATCAGCAATTTAAGCTTTTGATGAAGGACAATTCATGGATGAGATGGCTATGAGTAAGTCATCTAACTTCTCTGCATTACAAAATGTAACGTGCTTTCTGTGTGTGATATAAATATTGATATCCCACAACCCACACTAAGGGGAAGGGTTAGCAGAATCTCTTTGTTGCAAAATATCACTCTTTCTAGCTTACATCATGGCTGCATGACATCAGATAGAAGCAGAAGCCAAGATGAACTGGCAGTGTTGAAATGTAATTTGTCAGAGTCTGGCACTGCTAATCTGGGTGAGTCCACATTCCTGCTCAAACCTTTAGCACAGATCTCGTCAGTAGCATATTCAGGACTGTGTTTTCCAGATTCTGTACAAAATTTCTCCTAATTGTTCAATCGGTCAATGACAAGTCCAGCATACAAATTCCAGAACAGTTAATTTCCTAACAATTCCAAGGATAAGCCCTCTGAATATCCTTGTATAAACACTTCTCTGCCCAAACTAAATCTGACGGATGTTTTAGACTGTGGGCAGCACCTGCAGCTCCCAAAGAAACATTTCAAGAAGATTGTGACGGTGATTATACAATGACAAAGAGTATATATTGTTGAGTCGAACCTTACCTTAACATCTGATAGGTTTTTATCATTTTATGTCTCAGAATTAAAATGTAAGTCACCTTGATTGAAATCTGATTAAGCATTTTTTTCAGTATTTAGGTTAAACTTAAGAAAGGCCTCTTACTTGTTTGGTATATTTGCTCAGCTGGTTCTCTACTATCTGAGCTTCACCTTCAATCTAGGATTTTGCTGGTTATTTTACAGATGGAGTCTCTGAATCTTTTCTGCTAGCTTTGAAACTTGTTCTTCTAGATCTCAGCCTTCTAAATAGCTAGGGTTGCAGTTATACCTGACTCTGGCAGAATTTATTATCTAAAAGACAATGTTCATTAAGCCTCACATCTTTCTGGAAAGAATGGCACCTCTAGAACTTTAAAATGGCACAAAAAATATGGTTGAAATATTAAATCCTTTAACAAATCAAGATGAAGCAATAGTGTGTGGAGTTACCATTTGTGAGCACCGAGAATGCATGAAGGCATTATTTGCATTATTTTAATGAATCCCCATCTGTATGGAATGGCACTTAAGAAAACATAAGTCACTTGTTGAAGGGCACACAGCTCTTAAGAGTCCCAGGTAGAATGTGAACCAGATAGACCCAAGGCCAGGGCTCTCCATATGATCTAGATGATAATGCATCCCCAAGTGATTTGTAGATCAAGGAAGTTTCTTTTCACTAGAACATGTAAAATAACCTTTGCTGTGAATCAAACACAGAAATTCCCTGCTCCAGCTTGCAGAGGAAGATATGCATACTGTTCTCAGGGTGGGGCCAAACAGTGTCAAGTGTCTGTGGACAGGTGGGGCCGCAGACTAAGAAGAGACTATAGGATGAAAACAAACTCTAGCTTTTCCTCAGGACGCAATGATAAGGAGGACTCTGTCCTCTTGCTGTGCTATCTTAACAGGAACACACTTGACTCAGGTGGGCCCTGGGAGAAGTAATGAGACATCCATACAGTAGACATCTCCTGTATGGTACAACTCAGTGAAAACCTTCTTCCTTCGATTCCCAGTCCTGTCCTTGACCCAATATGCACTTTGAAGAAAAAACAGTAAAAGATGATGGATCACTTTAGGGGAAAAAATAGAAACCTTAAAAAAAATCTGTACAATAAGTTAACACTCTAATGACAGAGTTCCAATGGAACTACCCATTTGTTAAATTTTGTGGGACCTCTTCGCTATGACATTCTTTTCTGCTAAGTGGAGACG